TCGCCAAACGGTCGTAAAAATTCCACCACTTGCGATCGAATAACATCTGTATCTGTAGCCACAAATATCCGCAGGTGGCCTAGGTGAGCGGCTGAGGGGCCGCCACGTGGCACAATGGAGGCCATAAGAGACGAATCATTAACCGTCCATGTATCCTGCATCCTCCTCCTGCGCTGAAGCTTCCTCCTCCTTTCCAACTTACTGCCTAGTTCAACACTCCGCTGTTCATACTCAAAAAGCCGCCGCTGTTTAGTTGAAGCTGCCAAAAGGGTGGATGTATGGGTCGGGAAGAGGAAAAGGTGAAGGAGCAGAAAAGGAGGGAGGAGCCGGTTCTGAAGGAGGGGATGGAGTACAGCCAAGGATGCAGGGGCTGATGGTGAATGGGGTGATGGTGAATGGGGTGATGGTGGATGGGGTGATGGTGAATGGGGTGATGGTGAATGGGCTGATGGTGAATGGGGTGATGGTGAATGGGGTGATGGTGAATGGGGTGATGGTGAATGGGGTGATGGTGAATGGGCTGATGGTGAATGGGCTGATGGTGAATGGGGTGATGGTGAATGGGGTGATGGTGAATGGGGTGATGGTGAATGGGGTGATGGTGAATGGGGTGATGGTGAATGGGGTGATGGTGAATGGGGTGATGGTGAATGGGGTGATGGTGAATGGGGTGATGGTGAATGGAGTGATGGTGAATGGGGTGATGGTGAATGGAGTGGTGGTGAATGGGGTGACGGCAAAAGCTTGTTTCCTTTGCTGGTCGCTTGATTACTTCACTATTTGCTTGTTGTTTTTCTGTACCTTTGCTTGTCTTGGTGGGAGCGTTGGCGGCACCACGACACGCGGTACCATTATACTCCCCAACAGTAGTCTCTGTACTGTTGGGAAACTGATCAGCAGCGGTTGTAGCATTGGCAGACCGTCCAGCAGCGGTTGTAGCATTGGTGAAGCCTCCTGCAGCAGCCTTCTTGATGCGAAGGAACTGCAACAGCCTGGCAATGCAGCGCCACTGGGTGGGCCTCACGATCTCATGTGCTCGATACAGCTCCGCCTGCTGCGCTCGCTCCCAGCATTTGCTGTCCTCTTTGGCACAGGGGATGCCCTCCACATTCCTGAAAGGGCAAAGAGATGTAGTGAGAGAGAGAATAGTCAGCACACTTGCACGAGAGAACTCCGCCTGCTGCGCTCGCTCCCAGCATTTGCTGTCCACTTTGGCACAGGGGATGCCCTCCACATTCCTGAAAGGGCAAAGAGATGTAGTGAGAGAGAGAATAGTCAGCACACTTGCACGAGAGAACTCTGCCTGCTGCGATCGCTCCCAGCATTTGCTGTCCTCTTTGGCACAGTCGATGCCCTCCACATTCCTGAAAGGGATAAAAGACGGCGTGAGATTGGATGGCAGTTGCAGCTATGCCTGCTGATTTTCTCTTCCTTCTCGCATTTTTCTGCCCGGGCCAGAGCAGTGAGTGCAACTGTGTGGGCTGGGCAGTGAGTGCAACTGTGTGGGCTGGGCAGTGAGTGCAACTGTGTGGGCTGGGCAGTGAGTGCAACTGTGTGGGCTGGGAAGTGAGTGCAACTGTGTCAGCTGGGCAGTGAGTGCAACTGTGTCAGCTGGGCAGTGAGTGCAACTGCGTCAACAGGGCATTGACCTGGGAACCAGCAAAGGTAGCTGAGTCGACCCAAATGTAGGAAAGGGGAACGCTTTTAGCTATGGGTGAGCCCAGGAGAAAATGAGATTGGGGAAGGTGATTTTGTGTCGACACATACTATCATTATGCAGCAACCAACAAGATGTTTGCAACTGTCGAGCCGGTCGGCAATCGCCGGGCCTTTTGTCAGCCGTCAATAGCTTTTGGAAAACAACCGTGCTATAAAAAAGGAGGAACGTTTTTTTAAAACGCAGCAACCGTTTTCAGGAAACCACCTTATCAGCAACCATACCAAAAACAACAACCTACTGGAAAAACCAAGTCTTTCAGAAACAGCAATCTTAGGGCGTGTAACATTGTACCGACCAAACAAAAAAAACGACCATTGGGCGGTTCTGACGATTGCGAACTATTTGGGGTAACCCCCAAAGATTAACATTACGTGGTAGTCACACTGACTACAGAATATATTCAGGTGTCATTTTCGCTTAATTTTGTGTCTCGGACTTTCGCGACCTGTACTACTCTTATCCTGGGCAGGGGATTAGTGTTTGACTTCCAATTATTTTCCCCGAATTTGTTTCGCGAAGGCCTATGAACTTACTAAACACAACTATCTTTCCGTGCCCCGTATATTCCACACCCCGTCTGAATGATAGAACTTGGATTAAACCTTCAAATTCTAATTGCGGGGGTAGTTAAGGGTGGGTGCCCCTCAGCTCGCGAACAGAATGGTCATTCTGTTCGAAATGTGTGGCGGGGTTCGTTCAAACGTTACACCGTTTCGCTTTCGCATGACCCAACCAATGGTCGGATGTTAGGCTTGGTCGGTACAATGTTACACGCCCTTATTCGCGAAACAACTACCTTCTTTAAAAACCACCAGTCCTAGTCAGAAAACACCAAAAATTGTCTAGGAAACCGAATAGAACACTTGTTCTGAACCCACTCACATTGAGTATCCACGGATGTGAATGGACAAGTCAAACTGCAACCTCAACCCCTCCCCTTTCTCCACCAGCTGAGGCTCCACCTTCCCTGCTTCCGCCTCCCCCTCCTCCATTCCCATCCCTCCCCCTCTGAACACCAGCGGCGGCACCACCCTGAGGTCCCTATCAACCACCTCTTGCACCCCCGGCTGGGGGCCCTTGCCAAGGAGGAGAGAGAGCGCTTTCGAGCGAATGCACCAGATGGAGGTGCAGCCAAAGGCGTCGTGAACGCACTGCTTGATCTGAGGGTCTTTACGCCACAAGCCATCGAAGAAGGCACCTGGGGGGAATGAATGGGGCACGGGCACAGATGAGCAGTGGGAAGGGATGATAACCACATCAATATGTATTGGTATGCTTTGGTATGCATCGGACATGCATCGACATGCATCAATTGCATTGGTTTATCTATATGGGGGAGTTTGGGGGCCGATTGTATCGAGTCGATCCTACGCAGTCAAAGGTGGTTACATGTACGCTTTTGTGGGCAGGATTTGAAGAAAGCTACTCTGACGAATGATGGGACAATAGAACAACCGCAGGGTTTACTTAAGTATCTATTTGTTTATTCATTTGGACCACGTCAAGTTCGGGGGAGGGGGGGGAGGGGGGGGGGGGGGGGGTACCAAGTTCGCAACTGCGACCGGGGAGTGGTGGTTTTGGTGGGTGGAACAAGGTAGTTGTCATCAACACACACTTGCATACACCTGCATGCACTTGCATACACTACACTAGCATGCACTCGCATACACTCGCATGCACTCACATACACTTGCATACACCTGCATACATTTGCATACACTCGCATGCACTCACATACACTTGCATACACCTGCATACATTTGCACACACTTGCATGCACTCACATACACTCGCTTACACTCACATACACTCGCTTACACTCGCATACACTCACATACACTCGCATGCACTCGCATACACTCGAATGCATTAGCATTCACTAGTATGCATTCGCATTCACTCGCATGCATTCGGGTGCACTCACTAATGCGTGCATGCCACTTCCAAACACACGCATGCATTCGCATACAAAAACGGGACGGGAAGCATACCTGTATTAACAGCCAAAACGTTTGGGCTGTATTCATAACCATGCATTTCAAGCCCTCGCCCATCCAGAAGCTTTGCATGCTTGCGGATGTCTCCTACATAGTGCAACCTGTCTATCCCACAGTAGAACCCATTACACAGACGCTCCAAGACCTAAGAAACATGGGGATGCGAAGAAGAGGTTGCAAGGGATGGAAGTGCAGGAAAAAGGTGGTGCAGGGAGGGATGGTGATCTCATGATGTGCAACTCTAATCCGATTCATTTCAAACTCCGACTCAATAGGACAACCAAATTATATGAGAGTAGAAGTGCAAGAGACATGTGCTGACTTCTAGGAGAAGAGGTGACTTTTGAAAAATGAGGTGGCCTTTGAAAAATGAGGTGACATTTGAGAAATGAGGTGACTTTTGAAAAATGAGGTGACTTTTGAAAAATGAGGTGACTTTTGAAAAATGAGGTGGCTTTTGAAAAATGAGGTGACTTTTGAAATGAGAGGTGACTTTTGAAATGAGAGGTGAGTTTTGAAATGAGAGGTGGCTTTTGAAATGAGAGGTGACTTTTGAAATGACAGGTGACTTTTGAAATGAGAGGTGACTTTTGCAAAATGAGGTGGCTTTTGTGAAAGGAGGATTTTGTTTAAGGGAAGGTGAGTATGTCGTGACGAGGCTTTTTTTTTTTTATGAGGTATTTCTAGAAATTAGGTGGATTTAGAAAGAGTAGGCGTTTGTTTGCAGCGGATTATAAACAAATGGGGCTTCGGGACAATAAGTGGCTACTGGAAAAGGCGGTGGCTTATGGAAAAAGAAGTGATCATTTGGAGAAAAAAAAGTGGCTTATGGGAATTCGGATTCTAGGAAAGGAAGTGGCTGAGACAAACAAACGAGGCACAAACGTAGGTCAAGAGTCAGAGACAAGTAGGGAGGTGTTGCAGAAGAGAAGTGTCGCAAAGCTATGTTGCATGCATTAGCAATACCCTCATCACTCCTGGACATGGCAAGTCACATGCCTGCTTGCCCCCATGCCTGCATGTCCCCATACCCCATGCTTTGACTCCACAAGCCTTGCCACTCACCCTCTTGTGCCACACGCCCCAATACACCCCTCCACTCCACCCTCACCATCTCATCCCACACGCACGCCACGCCCCATACGTACATTCCCCACCCTTACCTGCTTGTGCGGCCCGCCATGCCAGCGCAGAAGCCGCCGTCCCGACAGCAGCGCGAAGATGAACGCCGAAGTGTACGCCCTCAGGGAGTTCCCCAGCCCAAACCGCGGCACCCAAATCAGTCAGCGCTCCTTGGGCGCGGCAGCTAGAAGGCCCGGGGGGATGCTCTCGTTCCTCTCCACCATGCGCTGCACCTTGCCGAGAAGCGTGAACTCCGTCTCACCAATGTCCCAGCCGAGAATGGGGAGGCTGGCATCGGGGGGTGTAGGGAGGATGCCTTTACACGAGGGGGTGTTCTGCACGAGCGGGAGGAAGAAACGGAGAAGGCCGGCAGAGAGAGGAGGTGAGGAGCCCGTACGAGTGGCTTCAACGGAACCTTCAAAGGGTCTACAATATTTAGATAGCGCTAACCACCATGACGCCAAACCAAAGCACTCTCTGTCCACTGGCCTCTGCCACGGAGCCACCTACTACTAGCAGCCGCAGTGCTGATACTGATTCACTGCTACTACTAGCAACACTGCCCTAGCTGAGCTCTTTACTTATCCTCACTCACCCCGATGTCGTACCTACCGGCCCTCGCCCCGCATGAACATGCCGCGCCAGCTAGCGCCCAGCCTCCCCACGGGCCAGTTTCGCCACAAGCCAGCCTCCCCACGGGCCCACTCAAGTTTCAAGTCAACTCACTCACCCCGATGTCGTACCGGCCGTCGCCCCGCATGAACATGCCATGCCAGCTGGCGCCCAGCCGCGCCACGGGCCACTGCCATTGGTAGTAGTCCTGGCGCTGAGTCAGCATCTCCTCCTCGATTCCCGCCTCGTTCCACCACCGAAACGCCGATCTGGCTTCCTCCGCTGGCCCAGACACCCACCCATCATCCACCAGCCTCCTTCTCCTCCTTGGCGTTTCAATCGCTGTTCTCTCGGTGTTCTCAGGCCGCCCTGCCATCCATCCGTCCTCCCGCCTCTTCTGACCCCCTGGGGAACTCCACTCACTCCTCCCCTCACTCCCCTCACGTCTCCCACTCTCCTAACTCCCTTCAATCTGCTCCCCTTCCCCTCTTTCCGCCTCCGACCCCTATTCCCCATGCTCGTTCTGCGGACCCCTCCTCTCGAGCTGCGGTTACCACCCTCAATCCGGCCCTCAATACCCCTCTGCCCTTCCTAAAGACAGATTCGGTTATATCATCCTCGTCCTCCCCTTCCTCCTCTTCCTCTCCTGGATCCTCCTCACCCTCCTCCTCCTCCTTATCACTCTCATCATTCGCCGCGTCCCTTGCATCGCCACTCTCAAACTCCTTTCTCTCCTCCTCCCTCTCGCTCCTCCCCTCCTCCAACTCTATCTCCCCCCCCGTTTCAGTCACATCATTCCTGTGACACCCCTCCCATTCCTCGCACGGCAGAATCAGCTCCAGAAGCGGATCGCAAGTTGACGGCGGCAGTCTCCTTCCACTAATAGTTAACGGACGATAACGGCCACTTGACGGCCGGGCTGGGCCATTATTGGCCGCTTCGTGAACCGCAATATAACGTTCGGTTGGTGTCCCGTCGCTACCCGCGACGGAAGTTGGTAAACTTGTAAATCCGTCGAGGGGATATTTCCCTTTAGAGAAGGTCGGATCATCTGACCGATCACTATGATGGTGAACTTTTGCTGTGACCGAGAGCAGCGGACTCAACAACAGTAAAGCTTCCAGCAATCGTGATTTACGAGGAGCGATTTCTACAACTGGAACGCTGCGAGCAGCTGAGGCTGCCATGGTGTTTGTAACCTAAGATAAACTCAGAAGGACAGTAACTGTGCTGCTCATCCATGAAGTGCAACGGATTGCTGGTTAATGCAAGAAGCGGACTGACAGAACTCCAAGACGGAGCAGACGTTTGCTCGGCAGCAGGCATCATTTTCGACGTCCGATTCTTCAGCAGTCCGTACCAGAAGAAATGCTGAGGTCAGCAGTGATTCGACGAATCACCCGGTCAAACTAGAACTCTGAAAAACAGCCTATCAGCGTTGCCGTCCTGAAAAACAGACTGATGGAGATTGCGAGAAGAACCGGTCCGTTACCAGAAGAAATGATGAAGTCAGCAGTGATTCGTCGGACGAACACCCACTCAAGATTCTTTAGCGGAGTCACCAGAAGAAATGCTGAGGTCAGGAGCGATTCGACGAACACCCAACTCAAGATTCTTTAGTTGTCCGTCACCAGAAGTAATGCTGAGGTCAGCAATGATTCGACGAACACCCAGTCAAATCAGAACTCTGGATGTTAACTATCACCAAACAGCCTATCAGCGTTGCCGTCCTGGAAAACAGACCATCCAGCAGCTAACAAGCAATGCTACTGTAGCACCCTCTTAGCATTGCTAGTAGCATGCCTGTTGTGAACAAAATTCTCGTCGTCCGTACGACTCGTTATCCTGGGAGTGTGGTCCCCCCAACTGACGAATCGGGATTCGGGAAACTGGGCCCCTTTGCCAGCTGGAGAACGTCACGACCACTCACGACTCTCATTTTGCCAGCCAGCTCCTTTCGCCCAAACGAACATGTTGCGCTGTCACATGTTGCGAAAGAAAGCCGAAACTCGGGCGAAATTCCTTGCTACCACAAAAAAACGTACGTCGTTGACCCACCTGAGCAGAACAGAGAGAGTTGCGAAAACTTTCGCGCGGCCTCTGTCCGTACAGTCGCACAGTTGCGACTTGCTACCAGCCCAGTTTCACCAGTCGCACGGTTCTGGATTCCCCAAAAGCATACTCGGTTGCACGCTACTGCACATGTTACAGACCATCATATGCAAAATATGACATCATTGCTTTTTCTTCCTTGCGGACAGCTTGCATTGCATGATGCCAACTTTGCGCTTATCGTCAACATTACGTTTTTCCAGAAATTCTGCCGCACATCAACAGTATCGCTCTTTTATACAAAGGTTTGAACATATGAAGATGCACCAGCAAAAGAATGTACTACGCAGGGTCGTTGCTAGGTTGCATGTATATACATCAGCCTGCTAAAACTGAAGCGGGTACAGCCAAACTTCTCCCATGCCCACCGATCGAGGCACCACCTCCACAACCACAAGGCAACAGCTGCTGCGTCAGCCGGAGATCCTTCTCGGCAGGATTTGCATTCAGAATCCGCTTGCGCGAATCGCGTTTCTTGGCGACTGCTGAATCTGATCCAGAGCGGCTCCGCACCCTGAAATTAGGGTCGGCTTATAAGTCATAAGAGCTGCGCTGCAGCGCCAGAGGCCGCTGCGTGCGCTGTACGTCGGATAGCCTCGTGGTGGCTTTTGAGTCGACTCAAAGGTCGCCTAGTTTCCAAGGCGCCAGAGGCCGCTGCGTGCACTGTACGTCGGATAGCCTCGTGGTTCGGGTACTGCTGATCGGATGAACACTGACTGCGATCGGAAAATCGGGGAAATATAGAGATTTGGGAGGTTGGCTCGGCGAGGTCATATCGGCGAGATCACGGCGAGGTTCTGCGTTTCTAGTCCGCTGATAATTGGATTGGACCTTTTGAGTCGATATGACTAATCGCTTGGATAAATTAAGTCGTCGTTACACTATCATGCCCGTGTTTCAAATATCTCCTCTTTTTCCTCACTAACCTCAACCATGCTCCGCCTCTCTCGTCTCCCCTACTCCCCCCCCTCCCCCCCCCTCCCCCCCCCTCCCCCCCCCCTCCCCCCCCCTCCCCCCCCCTCCCCCCCCTTCCCCCCTCTCCCCTCTCTTTGCTCTTCCTCCCGCTCTTTCCTTCTTTTCCCCCTTTCCAATCCCGCGCCTACTCCATTCTCCCCGCTCCCCGTTCTCACAGAAATTGGCAGTATCCCCGTTACTAGCCCGCTCTGTCGCTGTTCATCGCCAAGGGCAGGATGCACGCCATAGGGAAATTCTTCAAAACTGTATACGAGCTTTTTGATGATGACGACGAAGACGAGGATGACAATAACGAGGGCGAGGGTGTAGACGGAGAAGACAATAACGGCGGCTTCTGGGATAGAGCCGGAAACGGACGCAGGTTTTGGGGGATGGGAGGAGGAGGGAGGGAGGACGAGAGGGGAAGGAAGGGGGAGAGGGAAAGGAAGAGAGAGGAGAGTGGGTGGAGGAGGAACGCGGCAATGGGTATGGATGGCAGAACAAGGCGGCGGGGTGGTGGAGGCAGTAAGCCAGCGGCAGGGAGGGGGAGGCGTGGGGATGGGGAAAGTCCGGAGGGGCATTTGGATGAGACGAGGGGGGAGCTTCTGACTGACAGCAACGGGCTGACGTGGCGACCTCTGATTTGTCTGGCTGAGCACGGAGACGGAGGCGTGCAGGTGGGGCGAAGTTAGGCGTGTGGGGACGAAACATGACGTGGGTTGTTACAGCTTTGTGGCTGAGTAGTTTTTTGTTACATTGGTGTCACTGCGTTTCGAAATCTGGTGCATGTGGTGACAATTTGTGACAACGCAGACAGTGGTGCCATGCCGGCCCTACGTGGTTGGTTGGCACACCGCTGTTATTTGGCCTGGCTGTGTCTCGCATGTGCGCGCTCTGCAAAAACTCTTCCACGTTCCGTTCCTCCCTGGCCCACTCGCTTCCCTCTTCCCGCTCATCCCCAACGTTAATCTTCCCCACATGGCCTATGGTGCATCCCTTTTCTTCCCCCCTGGCCCACTCGCTTCCCTCTTCTCGCTCATCCCCAATGTCAATCTTCCCCACGTGGCCTATGGTGCATCCCTTTTTTCTCCCCCCTGGCCCACTCTCTTCCTCTCCGCTCTCATTCCCACCTTTACCATTTCCGCAATGGCCTATTCTGCATCCCTTCTTTTCACCAAGAGTCGTCCCTTTTCTGTTTCTTCCTGGCCAACTCTCAATTCCCCTGGCCCCTCGCTTCCCCTCCTCTTTCGTCCCCGTACCATGGCCTATGCTACATTCTTTTCCTTCACCAAGACTCGTCCCTTCCCTGTCACACTCGCTTTTTTCCTAGCCTGCTCGCATCCCCTCCTGTAATCTTCCTGACAAGGCACCTGTTGGACCCGTACTCGTCACCGAGACATGCCTCTTCTTACCTATCTCCTCTTCCTCAACAGCCTTTCACCCACCAGAGCCTGACATGGTACATCGCTTCCCTTCACCATGATTGGCAATGCTTGACTTTCTTCCCTCGTTTCGCACTATCTTCCTCTCTACCCACCATCCCCCACCCATCATCACCCCTCATCACCCCCACCAGGGCCTGGCATGGTACATCACTTCTCTTCACCAAGACGCAGACGGTGACGTGGCAAACGATTTCTTCGTCGAGGTGCTTCCAGCAGGGTTTCACGTTGCTGAATGTGCACCCCTTCCTCCTAGTGCATCAGTCAGCAGACATGGAAGCACAGGTTGTTCTGATGCCGTTGCCTCTGCCCCTACATTACCTTCTGCTGCTGGTATTGCTGCTACTTCTGCTGCTGCTGCTGCTGCTGCTGCTGGTGGCAGTGGTGGTGGTGGCAGTGCTGTTAGTAGCAGTACAGGTGCTGACAAAACCGGCCAAGGTATTCTGCACCATACCTGTGAAGATCAAGGAGCGTCTGGACCGATGAGACCCGTGGGCCTTGCAGAGTGCTTGCAAGGGGATCGCTGCAGGAGAGCAAGTGAACTGGGCTCGATTTCAGCTCCTGTTGGAGCCAGGTTTCTGCTTATGCGGGTTCCAACGACTTTGCTTTTCCCTTTGCAAAACAGTGGGATGATTTCTGTGAAAGACGGAAATGTGCTCGTTGGAAATTCCGTTTTGTGAAAATGATTTTCTTTATATTGAAATCTACAAAATCGCTCGCCGCTGGCTTGGGAGGGGGTCTCACGACTGGGTTCTTAGTCTACTACTGGTACCTTAACTACATTATCTGTTGTGTATTACAACTTTATCCGACGTCTATAATTTTCGGGGTTCGTTAATTTCCAGTGGCATTCGCCCATTTGGAGACCATCTTCCTTGCGCCTGCCTTCAGTTGATCTTGGAATTCAAAATCGATGCTCTTCTGGTAGACCCTACCTTGTGTCGGGAGCTTCTGAATCCCCCACAGACCGCTTTATTCCTTTCCGCACTTGCCTGGTCGAGCAGCTTCTTACGTGTCCCACAGTGATGCGTCTCCTTGAAAACCCGCTGAAACTCATGTTCTGCGATTGCCATCACAACCTCTTGCGATTGTATGAGCAAATTCCACTCGCTTATGAAATAATCGCTACCGCGTTATAAGCGCTCGTTGATTTCTTTCTTCCGTGATCTCGCTCTCCGTAGTGAGAATCGACTGTAGTGTCACTCTCCGTCATCGATCCATCGCGAATCTGCTGCTGAAGGATTTGATTCAATTGACCTTGCGTGATTCATTTTCTTCGAGCTGATTATTAGATCGACTCAAAGCGTACCACCATGCAAGGCGCGGGATCGGGGACTCCCAAGCGGGAATCTGGAAAGGGTTTGACGGACCGCATGATTTGCCTCGCGGTGACCTTAGGGGTGGTGCTGGCGGTGGTGGTGTTTACCGTTCAACGGTCACTAGAGGAGCAATCCGCTGCTGCTATTGTCGAATCCCAGGTAGGTTCAGATGGTTACAGTTGGTGTGGTTACCACACGGATAGCACCTCAGCTGGTGGTGGGGTGGTCACTAGAAGAGCAATTTGCTGCTGCTTTTGTCGAATCCCAGGTAGGTTCAGGTGGTTACAAGCAGTGTGCTTACCACCAGGATAGCGACCCTAATGGTGGTGCTGGCGGTGGTGGTGTTTACCGTTCAGCGGTCTCTAGAGGAGCAATCCGCTGCTGCTATTGTCGAATCCTAGGTAGGTTCAGATGGTTACAAATTAGCTGGTTACCATACGGTTGATGAATCCTGAGTGGCTGTAAACGGGTTTCCAGTAACCTGGTTACCACCTTTATCCTAGAATAGTTTAGGGTGTTATGGTGGTTAGCTGTTCAGCAGTCGTTAGCAGTGCAAGTCTTGCGTTTTTGTCAACTTCCTTACATGAGTTTCATGTTCTCACCACGCCTGCTTGTGTGACAGATTGGTTACCAGTACTCTGGCCACCACCAGATTGTGACATTAGAATTCGTCTTTCGTCCTTCACCACACATTTTTACTTCCTCATCGTTGCCTCTTGCACCCCCTTCCCTTTCCTCATCTTCCCTCTCCGCTCACTTCCCACACTACCAACCAGTCTTCATCTGCTTTTGCTGCCATCTCCTTTCTTTACCATCCCGCCTCCATCCTTGTTTGTTTTCTCCAACTGTTTTCCAACAGCCTGGGTTCCCTCCCCTCTCTCCAGACCCAGAAGAACGAGAAGAGCAGATCCACGAGCAAACCGAATCTGCCCGGAAAAAAATCGAGGAGCTGCAAGCGACCATAAAAGTTATGGAAAGATCGCGAGATGAGACGAAGGAACAATTGAATCTTCTTCTCTCTCAGGCGCAAACTAAGGGAGGAGGGGCGGGGTCATCAAGTGACGGTTCTTCAGGCATCAGGGTGATTGAAGGCACAGGAACGCCGGACCAGCCGAGTGCGTTCAAGCAGGTTCGGGCCGGACCTGCCGGAAAAGTTCGGTTTCCCCGAACCAACCCACCGATTGTTCCGAGTTCGGAGGGGGTCGATCCAGCCTTGGAGTCCCTTCTGCTCAAAATAGCTTCGGAAAAGGAGATATTAGTCACGATTGCTGCAGCCGAAGTTCAGAATTTTATGGAGATTTGGATAAAGCAAGTGGTGAGAGTTGGAATTACCAATGCTCTCGTCATCTGCCTGGATCCTGCTACCGAAGCAGCTTGTAACGCAGCCTCGGCAAACCAGGTCGCCTGCTACCTCGTCCCGAACCTCCCCGCCGCGTTCGCCCCCCCGCAAGCCTCGGCAAACGAGAGTCCGAACCAGCGCACAGCCTCAGTAATCGACAGCCTCAACGGCGCCAAATTCTACGTTCTACGAGACGCTCTCGCCCTCGGATACTCCATCCTTGTCTCGGACCTCGATGTTACCATTCTCCGTAACCCATTCTCCTCGGGAGAGCTGGTTAGAGACTGCGACGTAGAGGCGATGAGCGTGGGCCACGATCAAGCATCTGCGTACGGCTACAACGATGTAACGGACGATCCGTCAATGGGGTGGGCGAGATACGCCCACACCATGCGGGTATTCGCCATGGATTCTGGCTTCTTTCTGGTCCGCCCTACAGCTCCCTCTTTGGAGCTCTTTGATCGGGTGGCGGCTCGGCTGGGAGCGGCGGCGAGAGGAGGGGGTGGGATTTCGGGGCTGGTGAGCCCTCTCGTGGTATTCAATGAGGAGATGTTTTACCCTTCACGGCCGGACTACAAGGGAGTGTTCATCTCCCGCCGTGTGCTGGACATCCATCGCTTCATTAACTCAAAGGTCTGTTGTCCTTTCTTCTTGTCTGGGTCTGTGTCCTTGCTCTACTTGCCGAAGATTACCCTCTCAGAGCCGTTTTCTTTTTTCCTGAGTGATTATTAATTTATTCTCGTATCAGTTGAAGCTGAATTACATAGGGGGCTATGGAGTTATCCTATTTGTCATGCATATGGTATGCGGTTTCTAATTCTTTTTTATCCGGGCTGGTGCGGAACTTCTTTTTGTAATTGTTATCTTCATGCAATTTCCTACTCTACTGCATCCCCCTTTTGACGTGCCCTGCATTGGTTATGAGGGACTGCATCCCCCAGTTGTGGTCGATTATTCCTGATAACTCTCACTTTCCGTACTACCATCAACTTTGTGTTCCCTCCATCTCCTTGAGATGCTCTCTTTGGAGATTTCAACTGTTGTTCTGTCTGGAGTTGTTGTATTCGAGGTCGGCTGTGGTGTACCAGCCTCGAGTTTCCCTTCTCTACTTTCCCCATCCCCCTTATAAGCTACCTTTAGAGAGTTTAAATGTGCTGTTGACAGATAGTAGTCCTACACTGGATCTCCTATACATCCTCCAATCTCCTGTCTCTCTTCCTTTGTCCCCCTTATATCTTCGCGTCAAAATGCTCAAGAGGGACTTTAACAGGCTGCATTTTTAGTCGACTCAAAAGTCACCTTCACCATTCTCTGTTCTCCCGTATTTCTTCATCCCCTTTATAGGTTCTTTTCAACCAAGCGGGAATAAGCCAGGCTGCATTTTGAGTCGACTGAAAAGTCACTTCGACCATTCTCTGTTCCTTCATCCCCCTTATAGGTACTATTCAAGGAGCTCAAGCGGGATTATGGCAGGCTGCAGTCTTTGGTGGGGTCAGCAGTGGCTGTGCATGTCAATTACCACGTCGATAAGCTTATGTGCTTATCAGCCGTCACCTCGTTCTTCATGGACCGGGAGCGAGCTGCATTTGACTCATTATCCTTGGCCTCCTCCTGAGGCTACAAATGGTTCATTTTTTACAATTACGGGTACCGTATATGGCGGATACGTTGTGCGATTATCAGCTGCCGTATGACCTCCCCTTGTCGTGGACTGCTAGTGAAGTGCTTTAATAGTTGAATATATGATGTATGCCATCTTTAGATGGTTCATGCATGCTGATTTTCTATTTAGGTGCCAAAGAAATATATAGGGTAAGTACATGCTGGATGGGCTTCATTAAAAACAATGTTGTTTCCAGTCCCAAGTTTACCCATTTGGTGTGAATTTCTGCTGATTCTCATTTTCGAGACCCAGATTATTGTCACGTTTCATGTCTACGGGCGATTATTTTCGCCACGTGTCCATGCTTGTGTAGATTTCATCTGTCTGCAAATTTTACGTGCGACTGAACCAAATGTTGGTTTTTCAGGGTGTAACAAAACTAAAACCTCTAGGGCACCAGGGATTTCATTCGATGCATCAACCCTAAACACCATGCCTGTTCCCGTGTTTAGGGTTGATTCCTTCCGAATTGTAACGCTTTTAGGTCGTCAACCCTAAACACCTGGACATTCCCGTGTTTAGGGTTGATGTTTCCCGAAATGTGTCCGTGTCCCTAGGGGTTTATTTTTTGTCTGCTGCGTCAAAATGTTTCAGGGAAATCGCGTCGGACACGTGGCGAAACCTTTTGCCTTTATCCATGAAACGTGACAATAATATAGATGTCGTGTGTGAGAATTCGTCAAAAGTATCACTCAATGAAAATAATTACAAGTAGAAAAACACATTTTTCAAGTAATACCCACCCAGAATATACTTACCCAAATATATATGTTTTCTTGTCACGCTCCGGCTTGCGACGATAATGAACCATGTGCAACGCAGAGAGGGTGGTGCCAGGCTGCGAGTGCTGTTGTCAAGCTGGGAGTAGCGGGCGAGGAGCAGATGTTCAGTGAGTTCTTCCGCACTCCGCCGGCTGGGGATTTACTGGACCCTTGGTTTACCAAGGCCCTTGACCAGCTCCCGCCTGTTGTCAGGCAGGAATTGCCGAGTTTGGGGCTCTGCACTACAAATCCCCCCCTCCAGCTTTTCCCAGCGCAGCAGCGTCGCTTGGCGGTTGAAAGTCTTCAGTCTCTGCGGCGCATGGCCCGCGATGATGCTACCTTGGCCCGTTTGACTTCCCTTCAGGGCCCGGGTTCGGCAGCATGGGTGTCCGCAGTTCCAGCGCATGATGACGCAACTTTCACCCCTGTGGAGTGGGGCATTTCGGCGGCAATCCGTTTGGGCCTTCCCGTCCACCAGCTTCTGGTTGCTGGCAAGTGTGTTTGCGGTGTGGAGTTCAAGGACCCGTCAGATCCGCACCATGCTCTTCGGTGCAAGTACCAGTACGCCCCGTCTCGTGTTCATGATGCAGTGAAGCTCGTTGTTGCTAAGATAGCCAAGGCATCGGGTGGGGTGGTTACGATCGAGGATGACACGCTTCTGCCGGGGAAGAGAGTGGATGTGGCGGTTAGGAAACCAATGGACGGGGAAAAACATGCGCTCGAGGTGAGCGTCGTGGATCCGGTTTCGCTACCGGTGCAGCAGCATGGGCAGTGTGGGCGGACAGTAGGTTTTGCTGCCAAGGAGCGAGAGAAGAGGAAGGCGACGGATTATCAACCTTTTCTGCGGCAGCACAGGGGGGTTCGTTTCTTCCCGTTGATTCTTGAGACTTGGGGTTGCTTGGGGGGAAGCTTTCGACAGTGGTTACGGCAGCAGGGGGAGGTTCAAGTAAAGGTGGCTCTTAACAAAGGTGTGGGAAGGGGCAACAGCTCGGGTTTCTCGGAATACTTGGTGGGGTCCTTCACAGCCGCGGTAGGGGTAGCTTTGCAGAAGGCACAGGCTCGGGTGATTCTTTTGCGGGCGGCATACACGTTGGGTCAGTCCGAGGCGGAGTGGGTGGAGCGAGGGGGTGGGGAGCAGGAGTTTGGAGAGGGAGCACCATGGGTGGACGTGCCCTACTTGGTCGACATGCGGCTGTAGATGTCTTAGGAAGCAATACTTTGTTTCGGGTTTTGGCGATGGTCTTTTGATGTTTGAGGTAGTAAGACACTTCTAGGAAGGGTTTATGCATGTCTGTATGCTTGTTGAAATGTAATTTTGACATTTTAGGATATTTATCGAAAAAAAAAACGACTATTTGCGACGAGCGAAATACACTGCGAAACTGTATTGTGTTGCGAAATCATCTTCGTTCTCAATCATGCTGTTCGCCAGTTATGGCAGATCATCGCAAAACGCTCTAGCATGAAACTGGTGCCTTCGAGAAGCTAGGCGGCCATGCCACCCATCCTAAATGTAGGGTGAAACTTGTGCGTTCGACAAGCTAGGTGGTTGTGCCACCCATCCCGACAACAACGCGTTAGAGATGATGGCTGTGCGATGGAGCTTTTTGGTCGTTACGAGCTTTAGGAAGGATGTCCCACAGCATAATCAGATCGGTAGTTTTTCTTCATGTGCCGTCGTTTCCAGTGTCCTAGAGCTCGTAATCCCGCAAGCGCCGTGGTTGATTGTTTCCGATAATTCATCATGTTCGTGAAAATGCTACTCCATCTCGCGTCCGATCTCCGTCTCGAACCACCTGAAGATTCCGTGATCCGCCCGACGGGCCCTGCTCATTATCGTAGATGGGATCATCAGGTTACCTTCGGAGCGAAAACCTTTCGCGGAAGCAAGGAAACGGGCCAGATACTTTCCAGAGAAGAAATTCCAGCCGAAGATCTCATCTTCTTGGTATCACGGGGCAAGAAAAATGAGATGAAGGAGATGGCTCACCGGGCAGCATTTCGCGATGCTCTCCTTGTAAATATTTCTTTCCCGGACGCGCAGCCACCTGCGAGCGCTGAGCACGTAGCCGATTATGCGAAAAGGGTCGCCAAACATTTTGCGAAAAACGTGTTACAGAACGACTGTGTGCGCATGTTAAAGAACCGTCAACCGGTTTACGATTCAGTCCAGGAAGGGCCCTCTCACGACCCTACGTTCACCACCACAGTCACTTTACCCGACGATTGGGGCAGTTTCACTGGCCTTACCTGCTCGATGAAAGTAGATGCGGAGCAAAGCGCGGCGTTCGAGGCGTGGTGGAATGTTTTCGTGGTGGGACCGCACGTGCAAGGCGGGGAGCCGGGTACTGCGGTAGCTGATGTGGCTGGTGACGCGGCGGAGGCGGAAGGTTTCAAGGGAAAACGACGAGCAGCAGCAGAAACAGATGATGATGAGGAAAATGAAGGAGCAGAAGCAGCAGCGGCGGCAGGAGGAGGAAGAGATGAGCAATTTGGTTCCTCACCTGAGGTTTTCGACAGAGATGTGGGGTCCGTGGGAGAGCAGCAGAGAGGAAAGGGGAAGTCTGGAAAGGAATCAAGAGATAAGAAAAGAATGAGGTTCTTCAACTGTTGATTGCTACACTTGACTCACACACTGCACAGCAACAGGCATGAATGCTTGTTATAGATTCAAAAGGGAGTAGTTTAAGATGAGAAAGAGACGCATCACCTTCCACAAATTGTCTACCAACACTTTTGCTGCTAACCGTGCTGCCGTCCGTCGTCAAGCTGTTCTTCAAATTATCTGTAAACAAGAAGTACGTGCGGTGCAGGAAGGGGGCAGCAGAAAGCCTAGTGAGATAGCACTGCACTGCATGCTTTGATCTTGGTATAGTTTAGCTCCGTTTGCTGGTTAGTTACTGCTATGCTAGCTGATCACTTTGGGCAATGCATTTTTAAGTAATCATCAAGCTCTAAACAGACTCACTCTGGTTTCCATTTCCGCCACCAACACCGTAGTCTCTATCAAACAGCATATGGCCAGATCACAGCCAATCTACCAAGTAATGCGCTTGTGACAGCTGACCTTCTGTGATAGGCTGCATGCAATCCAAGAGAGATATTTACAAGAACAGGGCAAGGGATAGGAAGCACAGTCTCAAGCAGAAACAGGCACAGCAAACAAGAAGCACCATCAGAATCCGGCACTATATTAACACCCACCCCACCCCTCCAACCAACCCACCACCATCACCACCACTGCCCCCACCTAGCCCCCACACAGCCTCCACCCATCCACTTTCCAGCCTCCCTCACCCTTGCCATCACTGCATGCGCCCTCTCACTCACTGCAGCCCACTCTGATCCCCAGCCTGGGCTCCCCTGCACCACCCTCTACCCTCAGAAAGAGTCTTTCTCACACCCCCTCCCTCCCTATCCTTTGTTGCCTCCTCTGCCTGAACCTCCTCTCCCTGAACCTCCTCTCACCCAATACTCTCCCTCTCAGCTTTCCTCCTCTCCTCCCTCTCAGCCTTCCTCCTCACCTCCTCCTCAGCCTCCTCCCGGATCGCAGCCCGGTCAAAGCCCTCAAGGCCAAACAACCTTTCTCTCCTCCGCCCGAAATCCCGCCCGAGTTACGACCGTTGGCTAGCGCAGTCAGGTCGTCTGACTCCATGCCCGGCGACGGACCCTTTTTGATGCGCCCCCGTTGGAAATGCTCCTCTTCACCCCAACACACGTGTTTCCAAACTTGTGTTTCTCGGCACTAATCCCCACTGCTGCATTCGCATCTCCACCCCCCACTCCTCCACCATCCCCCACAACCCCCCCACCACTCCCTCCCAAAACCATTCCTCCTTGATCCTCTAACCCACCACTACCTTCCCCTCTGTCCTTCCTTCTCTGCACCAATTCCTCAACCCAGGCGTCAACGTCTGCCTGGTTCAAGCCCCAACTAGCCAGCAACTGTTCCTTGGGTTTAACGAGGCGCTTCACGAGGCCTAGAACCCCCATCAGGCCAAGCTGGAATACTAAACCCTCCAGGGTTTCCTGCTTCGTGTTCTCTGTGCGCGCTGCAGTCCCTTGCTGGTGGCTTGGGCCGTTACAAATATGAACAGGGGGCGGCAGGAGAAAGGAAAACGGAGATTGATTTGCTCCTGCTTCCTCTGCTCCTCCCTCCTCTCCTTCTTCATCCTCCTCCTGAGCCTTCACCACCACCTCATCTTCCTCCTCCTCCTTCTCCTCCTCCTCCGCCTCCTCCTCCTCCTTTTCTCCTCTTTCATAATCCCCCAGAGCAGAGATCGTACCGTCAGGCAAGAAATCAGCAGGTTCAACAAAACTGGAAGGTGTGGGGATGCGAGTGCCATCAGAATCACCTGCTTCCACGTCAGCACGGCCACACCCCTCCCTCCCTCCACCATCACCTCCCTCCTCCTCTGCCTCCTCTCCCTCCTCTTCATCCTCCTCCTCGTCATCTTCCTTTCCTCCCACTTCCTCCACTTCCTTCTCTTGACATTCTCCTTTCTCGTCCGGTCTCTCCCCTATCTCATCGTCCTCTTCAGCCTCCACTTCCTCCTCTTCAAACGTTGTCACCTCATTTGAAACTGCACAAATTAACAAAAGCATTTTGTGTCCTCGACAAAACTAATCAGGACGCACGATCATGACGATTCACACACAGCATGAAACTTGCCTCCAGGGATATAAGAAAAGTTATGCTTACCTGCTTTACATCCTCTTTTTGCTGATCTGCCCCGGCCTTCACGCTCCTCCCCCCTGCCCCTAACACGTGCCTCCCCCCTGCCCCCACCACGAGTCTTCCCCTCCACACCTGCCCTTTCAACGCTACCCTGTGCCTTTTCCCCTAGGCTGCCCAAACAAGCCACTTGCAGGCCATCGCTCCCCACAGCAGGCACACCACTGAAGTCGCGACCGAAGAGTTTGCGGTTAGTTTTTGCACCCGGGCCATCCTTTTCGATCAAAGCTTCGTCATACGCACGGGCCGCCTCCTCTTCTGTGGAAAAAGAGCCAACGTGAAACTTTTGCCGCCCTTTCCAACGCGCTGCTACCCATGCCTGTCTTGACGCGTTCCAGCTCACACCTCTAAACCGTGACGTCTGGTGACCCATCTTGAGCAGCACGTTTTCGTTAATAATGGAGCCCCAAAATTGAAGCTCTGACATGGTATCAAGCTCCTTCTTCTGCTCCTTTGAGAGGTCAAAGTTAAAACGAGCGTCGGAACCCTTCAGCTTGTAAGCCGCCCTGCAGGCAAGGAGGGAATAGCGATTCGCAAACAGTTTAGGCTTGGGAAATGTAACTATATAGTGGAGTGGTTGATGCAGGTGTGGTAATGAAAAAAAAGCACGCTTGGACGCAAGCACGCTTACCTGTCGTAAAGTCTGGCAGCCTCCTCCGCAGTGCTCCTAGACCCCAAGTATCTTTGGCCTCCATGATTTATTTTCGCGTTCCATTGGGAACGATTCTTTGTCACTCCGACAAACTTCGACTCAGTCGCCATCCCGGTGACCTCTGGAGGCTAGAACGACGTCAAGGGTGGGGAATGAGTGGCGATGGCAAAGAGAGTTTTAAGAGAGCTTCTATCTGCACGCTACTAAACTTCAATACACGCCTTAGCAAAAATCCACTCCAACAGAAGCTGCGAGCTCCTCGAAGCTGCGAGCTCCTCTCTCAGTACCGGTCGTCGAGCAACCTCGAGCGATCTGCGACCTCGAGCGATCTGCGACCTCGAGCGATCTGCGACCTCGAGCGATCTGCGACCTCGAGCGATCTGAGACCTCGAGCGATCTGCGACCTCGAGCGATCTGCGACCTCGAGCGATCTGCGCGTCACCTAGCTAGCATGACGAGAGCGGAGCGCGCCAGCTGGCATGGCGGAGGAGGCGGCAGTGTGCGAGTGGAGAGAAATGCTGGTGCCGCGAGAGGGTCACGGCTTGGCGCTACGCAGCGAGGTGGACCATGCGGATTTCTGAGTCAGACTAAAAAATCAGCGTTGGTGCCTCGAGAGGGTCACAGCTTGGAGCTACACACAGCGAAGCGAGGTGGACCATGCGGAACTTCGGTCGCATCGCAACCGCAGCCAGGTTTTGCGGCCTGAATGTGAATGGAGCATCACATCTCGAGGGTGACAAAACGAAATGTTTGATTTCGAGTTACGGTACGAGTGAAGCCTGACTCGCTGGATATTGAGCTCGGTTCTGCGGGATGCAACTGTTTCCAGTACGGCAGGATTCTCAAACATGTCACTCAGAAATATTTGTGCTATGTGCGTTTAATAGGACAGAAAATAGTTCTCTTACCTATAGTGCCTTCCATACTGCTGTGTATCAGATGAGCATTAACAATAAGGTTTAGTGTACCGACTATATATACACACTACTAACACGAACCACACAAACCCCTGCACGATACCTTGCTTTATACACAGCCCTTTGTCCAGATGCAACACATTCCACTCATCCTACTCCACCTCATCCTCCTCCTCCCCTCCTCCTCCCCTCCTTTCCCCCGTCTTTCACCCCACTCCCAAACCCATCACCGTCGCTCAACCCATGACCAGCCTAACCGGCCAGCCTAACCGGCACAGCCAGCACCAGCGCCGGGGACGAGAAGAGCACGCTCCAACTCACCTCCCCTATTGCTCATCACGCAACCCGTGCACCTGATTTCACCTTCATTCCAGCAAACGATCCCCCGAGATGCAACACCGCCCACTCATCCTCCTCCTCCCCCTCCTCATCCTCCCCCTCATCCCCCTCTTCCCCGTCCTTCACCCCACTCCCAAACCCATCACCATCGCTCAACCCATGACCCCTCAGCCCATCATTCCCAGCCAGCCTAACCGGCACAGCCAGCACAGGTGCCGGGGACGAGAAAAGCATACTTGAACCCTCCCCTATGATTCCTCCATTGGGTTGTTTTGCTCCGATATTGGCGGAGGACACTCCTTGCTGCCCGAGGCCTGGTTCCCCTCCCCAGGGGATGCCTCGAAAGAACGGGTGGGATTTCAGGCGAGGGTACCCCCCCATGTGCCTCGAACCCAGTCGCTTCTTGGGCTCCATCTCCTGCCAGCCACAACAAGGAGGAATGGAAGAGGATGATTGAACGCCCCTCCCTAGGGATTCTTTCTGTGAAAGAACGGGTGGGCCTTGAGCCAAGGGTACCCCCCCATGTGCCTCGAACCCAGTCGCTTCTTGGGCTCCATCTCCTGCCAGCCACAACAAGGAGGAATGGAAGAGGATGATTGAACGCCCCTCCCTAGGGATTCTTTCTGTGAAAGAACGGGTGGGCCTTGAGCCAAGGGTACCCCCCCATGTGCCTCGAACCCAGTCGCTTCTTGGGCTCCATCTCCTGCCAGCCACAACAAGGAGGAATGGAAGAGGATGATTGAACGCCCCTCCCTAGGGATTCTTTCTGTGAAAGAACGGGTGGGCCTTGAGCCAAGGGTACCCCCCCATGTGCCTCGAACCCAGTCGCTTCTTGGGCTCCATCTCCTGCCAGCCACAACAAGGAGGAATGGAAGTGTCAGCAGTGGCAAAGACCAAGTCGTCGACGTACACGAGGATGTAGAACGGCAGCAGTGAAGTGTCGGTGCATAGAAACAGCGACGGGTCAGCAGTAGAAGGAGCGAACCCAAGAGCCGCAAGTGTAGTCCTCAGTGTGTCGTGCCACTCACGCGGCGCCTGGCGGAGACCGTAGACTGGCCGTCGGAGGCTTCACTGGGTACCAGGAGGGAACGACCCAGTGAAGCCAGGTGGGCAGCGCAGCCAGATCTCCTCGTGCAGGCTGCCCTGCAAGAAAGCTGTGCTGAAGTCAAGAGAGTGGAGCTCGTAGTCACGCTGAGCGGCGACGTGCAGCAGAACCCGAAGAGTGGTCAACTTCGGGGTCGGGGAGAAGGTCTGGAAGAAGTCAACTCCCTCTCGCTGACTGAAGCCTCGTGCAACGTAACGCGCCTTGAAGACAGGCGGAGAACCCGGCGGCCGCTTCACCCTGAAAATCCACATGCCACTGACGATGTTCGCCCCAGGTGGGGGAACCTCGTCGACGTAGGTGCCTGTGGACTTCCAAGAAGCCATCTCTGCGTCCATGGCTGTCTGCCACTGAGAGGAGTACTCACCCGCGATCGCCTCAGCGTAAGAGCGCGGGGTCGGGATGTCTGGAGCATCCGGGTCTCCCTCAGGGGCAACCAGCATGGACACGAGATGAGGTAACGTAGCGGCAAAGCACTCAAACTCCTCCTGCCTGTCCTCAAGGACGTCCGTGCCAAGAGCACACTCACCCCCGACGGACGGAGGACAGACAGACTCAGACTCAGAATCAGCGACAAGGCTAGCGGCGTAGTCTAGACGACAAGCGGCAGCAAAGTCAACTAACTCAGCGACTAGAGCAGACGCAGCAGAGGACTCGAAGGAAGGGTCAGTGACAACTGTGGCGAGGAGACGCGTGACAGTAGGACTGGCAGCACGAAGGGAGTCAGACTCCGGGTCAACAAGAGCAGGAAGAGAAGACGCAGGAGGAGACGGCAGAGGGACACGCTGAGGAGCAGTGGAAGGACGAAGTGCCATCTGGTGAGTGCCTGGGACAGCAGGAGGACGCTGACGCGGAACACGACGACCAGTGTGAGCAGCACGAACAGGTGACGCACGACGAGACTCTGGCGACGCAGGACGAGACTCAGGCTCACGACGCTCTGTAAGACCTCCAGTCGGACCAGTGTAAGGAGAAGGACCAGGGAGTGGCGAGGCAGGCGGTAACTGTGACTGCGACTGGACAGGCGGAGGACACTCTAAGGAGGGAGCAGGACTAGGGGGAGGCGGCTGACCAAGAACCTGCTGAAGGAGCGGAACGAAGTACGGCCGCGGCCGCGCAGCGCCTCCAGAACCAGCAGAGGCACCACCATTACCCTCAGCTCCAGGGTCTCCAGCTACACCAGCAGCACCAGCTCCCGGGTCCGCAGCACCAGCACCAGCTCCAACTCCAGGGTCCTCAGCTCCAGCAGCAGCTCCAACTCCAGGGTCGGCAGCACCAGCAGCAGCTCCAACTCCAGGGTCCGCAGCACCAGCAGCAGCTCCAACACCCGGGTCCGCAGCACCAGCAGCAGCTCCAACACCCGGGTCCTCAGCACCAGTAGCAGCTCCAGTAGTAGGAGTACCTCTAGCAGCTCCAGCAGCACCAGCAGTACCACCAGTACCAGCAGTACCTCCAGCAGCGTCAGTAGCACCAGCACCAGCAGCACCTCCAGGAGCACCAGCAGCACCGCCAGCAGCAGTAGCACCTCCAGCACCAGGGTCCGCGACACTAGGAGCGCCACTCCGGAGACTGCAGCGCCGCGCGTACCACTCTCGGAGCCGCTGGGGAGAGGGCAGCTCCCGCCTAGGAGGGGAAGCACTAGCACCAGCTCCAGCAGCACTCCTAGCTCCAGAGGCACCTCTCCTGAGGCTGCAGTACTGTAAGTACCACTCACGCAGCTGCTGTGAGGAGAGAGCTCCTCCAGGTGTAGTACTCCCAGGCTCAGCACCTCCTGACTCAGCACCCCCAGACGCAGCACCCCCAGACTCCGCAACCCCAGGCTCCGCACCCCCAGGCTCCGCACCCCCAGGCTCCGCACGC